TCAATGTGAACAATTTGTCGCATTGGGCGACTACTAGATTTTCATTAGTCGCATTAGGACAATTGACTTTAATTATAAAAGGGCCTTTCCATTGGTTAGTCAGTTTTGGACGAACCATGTCGTCATGCAAAATATACTAGGTTTCCAATGGAAATGTCTTTTGAGTATACCTTGTTGTATAGGTCGTATCCCAGTTTGTATTGTGTCGCCTTCGGAGCGATTTCTCTGCCGACATCCATAATGACGTTTTGCAGGCTGGCAGCGAATTGGTCTGCAAAATCATCGGATGCCCACGAACTATTGATGAGAAGCTCGTGGAGAATGTCGCTCCATGTTATCGGGAATCTGCCGTGCACGATGGAATGGGCTATATCCTGTAGTTTTATTAATGCTGGAATTGTATGCAAAAACAATAGGTTGTCTGACGATACTTAGCGTTACGCCATGAGGAAAGAAAAGATATTAATGTGAGGTAGTGAGGGGAAGGTGGTTCTCTTTGATTTTGACTATTATTTAGGTGTTAATTAGAGGTATATTGGGAAAATAGCATTGTATATGAATTGCCTTACCTCACTGATTATGTAGGTAGGGAAAATCATGAAATTTTAGATTGCGCAACGTCTTTATATTTTCCTCGGTTCAAACTAGTGTTGGATAGTTTTTTATATATTTTATTTTAGTGATCCATTGGTGGATGTAATATATGCTATGCTATGCTGAAGATATTTATTTACTTAGGATCGCGGCATGTCATTTGCGATGACCTTAAAACACTGTAGTTTTGGGAAGTGCACTCGAGGGGACTGTTCGCGTGAATAATCCCTGTGCAAATACTTGAGGTAAATGATTGTTTCTGTTATGTGGGCGTGCTTAATAAGAAAGGGTCATAGAGCATAAGGAGTATTCGCTGTTTTTTTCTTTTACTGTGAGGTCTTCTAGTTTGTGTCTCTCTGTTAGGTCTCCCTTTGAGCATATCTCCGTATTCGTGATTTATCTCTCAGATTCCTTAATATTATTGTTTCAGAAACGAGTAAAAAAATGAGTCTGACTCCCAGATACCTATAGGACTTCGCACCCCTCCCCGCATACGAGGGTGAAGAAACCGACTCCGAGCATGACGCCAATAGTGAGGGCGTGTACTCGGACGAAGAAGAGGAGGTAGGCCCTGGTTTTTTCATTTTGCTTATTGTAGTGACTTTTTAGTATTGGATCCGAGAAAAAATCTTTTAAACTTCTTTTTTTTACAGAAGATATGTGGGATGTGTGGTGGTTGCTCCAGACACCGTGATATCGTTCAAAATATCACGGCGTGTACCATGGAGTGCCAGCGGAGTACAATCGAGGACGGAAAAAAACTGGCCCAAGTACTTGGAGTACTGGAGGGCCTCCAGCGGACCCGAGAGGTGTTGCTCAAAAGGTCCACCGATCTGACGTACTTATGGATGGTATGTGATTTATTTTACAATTAAAATTTTAATAAAATATTTATTGTCACCTTTCCCAGCAGTAGAATAAAAGAGTACAACAACTTACCTATGTGAATATGGGGTTGCTGCATGGGGAAGTGCCGCATTGGCATGAACGCGTCTCCCACAACGGACATCAAAAAAAAATAAATAAGTCCTCGTGACTGGTTCCTTTGAATAAATATTTAAATCGTGGAAATGTGTTTACTTACTTTTTTTTCTGAGGTTACGAGACCTCGCGTATTTGAATACTAACAGCCCTCCCAGGAGTTTATGCTTATAGGGAAACTGCTATTTTTCTCAATCTAATCCATTTAGATAACATGCCTGATTATTCAAATCTGTCTCCCGAAGATTTTCATCGCACGATGGTCCAGACCCTAATAGTAAGTATTGAAGAGAGTGAGATTTACCTACCTTTTCGTTTAATTTACATTCTATTTTCAGCCAACCGGATGTGATCGGTGTCCATCCCGGCTAGCTGAAATCAGCTTGCTCCAAACTCACCGACAGCCGACAGTTGCCTGGGTTGAGAAGTTGAGTCAACAAGTTGCTGGTCGAGAAAGAGGTGGCTCAGGCGCAGAAAGATATCCGCCACCTGGAGGAAAGCGTTGAGAAGATGGAATACATTCTTCGCGTGGTATGTGATCCTGATGATAATAATTTTTTAATATGATGTTCCCTTCCTTTTATCATTTGTTTTCAGTCAGTACCGGCGATCAATCAAGGAGTATCGGAGATTGGTCGCACCTTTTGCCTGAATAACTACGTCGCCGTAGACGACTGTATGCGCAGTCCGCCGATGCTATACCATAACGACGAGCCGGTGCTGACACAGCCCGAAGCACAGGATATTCGTCCATGAACGATAGAATAAAAAAAGAATAAAAAATTTCACACTTGGAGGCTTGTGATTACTGTACTTATTGAACTCGCGTAAGTGCGAGAATGACAGTTGGCAACTGGCGTGAGAGAGCCAGGCGCTAATGAGCGCAACTGTCATTGGTTGCCGACATTGGTCCGATACGGTTAATGATGTAGGTCGCTACCCATTAATCTGGTTTGAGTC